AGAGAGAGAGCATGTGCAAGCAGGGGGAGAAGTAGAGGGAGAGGGAGAGAGAGAATCCCAAGCAGACTCCCCACTGAGCCCAGAGCTTGATGTGGGGCTCGATCTTAAGACCCTGAGATCAGGACCTGAGCAGAAACCAAGAGTGGGATGCTTAACTGACTGAGCCACCCAGGTGCCGCTTTAATGGATTTTTAAAACTTAATTGTATTGCAAGAGAATATAACAAAACGTCAGTGGTGCCCAGCTGGCTCAGTCTGTAGAACATGCAACTCTTGATCTCAGGGTTGTAAGTTCGAGCTCCACATTGGGTGTAGAGATTACTTAAAAATAAAATCTTGAAAAATATATATATATAATATATAACAAAACTCCAAGAGAAAAATTGCCCATTATATTATTTCTTATTCAAATTAGTGTTTTATTTGCCCAAGCTACCTTCTAGTCCTCTACATACTTAACTCAGCTTTTATACATTTGTAGTAATAGATTTTAATATTCTACACATTCACATAACATACCATTTTATTCAGTTTTTAAATTTACCTTTGGTAAAATTGACTATTTGGTTATACCTAAGCCAGTTTCATCTGTTTCATCCCCAACAGTAATGTGAGAGTTCCACTAGTTTTGCATCCTTGTCAGCAGCTGGTATTGCCAGTCTCTGTTTTTACTTTTGGAGTTCTAATAAATGTATAGTAGTATTCCATTATATTTTAGTCTGTGATTTCCTAATGAATATAATATTAAGCATCTTCTCATGCATCTTTTTTTGCCATCTATATAATTTTTGTTGAAGTATCTGCACATGTCTTTTGCCACTACCCCCCCTTCTTAAAGTTGAGGTGTTTATTTTCTCATTACTGAGTTTTGAGAATTCCTTATATATTTTATATATAAGTCCTTTGTAAGATACATGATTTGTAAATATTTTCCCTCAGTCTGCAGCTTGTCTTCTCATTCTCTTAACAGTATCTTTAACAGAGCAGATGCTTTTTATTTCAATGAAGTTGAATTTATCCATTTTTAAAATGGATCATGCTTTTGACATTTATTTTGTAGTTAAGAAATCTTTTTCAAAGAATTACTATTGTTAAAATGTTCATACTATACAAAGTGATCTATAGATTCCATACAGTCCCTATCAAAATTCCAATGGCCTTTTTCCCAGAAATAGAAAAAAAACCCTAAAATTTGTATGGAACCACAAAAGATCCCATATAGCCAAAGCAATCTCGACAAAGAACAAAGCTGGAGGCATCATGCTTCCTGATTTCAAACTATATTCCAAAGCTATATAGTTCAAACAGTATGATACTGGCACAAAAACAGACACATAGATCAGTGCCACAAAATAGAAAGCCCAGAAACAAACCCACAAAGGAGCTAAGAATGTACAGTGAGGAAAGGATAGTTTCTTTACTAAATGATGTTGAAAAAACTGGATAGCCACATGCAAAAAAATCAACCTTTGTCTCACCCCACATACAAAGATCAACTCAAAATAGGTTAAAGATTTAAATATAAGACCTGAAACTATAATACTATTAAAAGGAAATATAGGGAAAATCTTGTTGACATTGACCTTAGCAATGATTTTTTGGTTGTGATAACAAAAGCAAGGGTGACAGAAGTAAAAATAGACAAATGGGATGTGTCAAACTGAAAACCTTCTGCACAGAGAGGAAACAATCAACAAAATGAAAGGCAACCTACAGAATGGGAAAAAATATTTGCAAACCATATATCTGATGAGTTAATATCCAAAAAAAAAAAAAAGGAAATTCTACAACTCGATAGCAAAATAATTTTAACCCAATTTAAAAATGGGCAAAAGATCTCAATAGACATTTTCTCAAAGAAGACATACAAATGGCCAACATGTACATGAAAAAGTGCTTCATGTCACTAATCATCGGGAAATGCAAATCAAAACCACAATGAGATATCCTCTTCTACCTGTCAGAATGGCTCGTATCAAAAAGACAGGAAATAACAAGTGTTGGCAAAGATAGGGAGAAAAGAACCCTTGTGTTCTGTTCTCTGAAATTTAAATTGATACAGCCATTACAGAAAACAGTATGGAAGTTCCTTAAAAAATTAAAAATAGAACCACTATATGATGCAGAGTTTCAAGTTTTGAATATCGATCTTTGAGTCAATCCAAATTTAGTGTTAAGATAAATGAAATGAGAAAAACACTTAGTTTAGTGGGCTTTTACTTATATTTGAATCTAGCCTGTAAGATTAATATAGCATGACACCAAAAATCTAAATTCTTTTTAAAAATAATACAGATTCCTTAACATTTTGGCAGGATAAATGAATACTGCTTGAAATTTAAATTTTGTGTAGAATAGGAAGTTAAGGGAAATAGGACTTTAAAAATTAACCAACTTTTTATCTCATTCTAAGATAAGTTAGCCCTCAGTGCTTCGGTTGATTAGTATTTAGCCTGACTTTTGTAACTTTTTTTGTTTTTTACTATTTAGGTCCCTCAAGACCCATTGAAGTTTTATAAGAAGATTTACTTTTGCCACGGTTGCCAGCTCTATTTGCCTTCCACAGAGTTTGCTGTCTCATCCACCTTACACCGCATATACCGGTGTCGTCACTGTATTAACCTTGACAATGAGACTCGACAACGAGAATCATTTTTGAAGTACAAATGTTTACTTCAGCGGCTCTACTATTCAGAAGCTGATTATGAAGATGATTCCAAAATTGCTTTCCTGATGCAGGTATGATCAGTAAGGGTTGCCAATCATGGATGAAATTTCTTCACTGATTTTACAGAAAAGATTCCTGCTTTCCCACAGAAACCTTTTAAAATAATGGTTCCTTTGTTTATGCTTATACTTTGTGAAGTTTGCCCCTCTGGCAATTTTAAGTCTATACAGACCTCGTGATAAAAAACCATTTCAAGGGGCGCCTGGGTGGCTCAGTCGTTAAGCATCTGCCTTCGGCTCAGGTCATGGTCCCAGTGTCCTGGGATCGAGTCCCACATCGAGTCCCACATCGGGCTCCCTGCTCGGCAGGAAGCCTGCTTCTCACTCTCCTACTCCCCCTGCTTGTGTTCCTCTCTCACTGTGTCTCTGTCAAATAAGTAAAATCTTTAAAAAAAAAAAA